GAGGAGTTCATCGAATTTGTTCTTTGCAGATACCAACAATGAAAGTATTCACAGTGGGCTTAGATGAGAAGCCTCCAATAAAAGATGCCGAAAAAGCACTCGAATCACCAGGACCTATACCCGGAACACCTCCACCAATAATCACGCTCGAGAAGAAGAGTTCAAACTCATGGAAGGTTCGATAAGTTCACTTTATCTGAATCCCAAAAAATATCGTCAACTTTTGAGAGCAGTTTGCACATCTTAAAAATTTTCTTCGGATCACAAGTAAAACGTTTGAAGAGATGACGGAACGAATTAATGCGAAACGAGGCGATTTCACTGAAATTTTGCTGTATTCTTCAACGAAATTGCTTCGTGCAATTCGGTTTTGAATATTACAAAATGCATCCATCGAATGTTTGTAAATATATTGTGGCACTGTGACAACATGATGAAATAGATGTTTATGAATTATTAAATTTTATTTTACCGAACCGACAGAAACTGAGAAGAAAACTGTAACGGAAAAAAACGTGATTTGCCTTCGAATTGACGAAGGTGCAACCAAAATTTAAAAGCTTAATCATGACAGCAGTGATTGATCGAAACGTTTCAGCGATATTTGATGTGTATGCTGACAGTTTTCTTGGTTTTGCTGTTCGCGATCATACTCAGTGAACTTGCATACAATCGGGCACGAGACGAGAATTATCTCCGCTTGCGATGGTATTCAAACTTGCTCATACATTATACCCTTTGAATGACACTTTTGCGTTTGCTCTCAATCGATTCAAATGAAACAATTCAATGAATTATGCCCTCTCAACAAAGTATGACTTCAGGGCTGAATTAAGACAACGAATGGCCATGAACATGGGCTACGAGAACAACTACAATAATCTTCAACCTCAACCACAACCGCTTGTTCAACAAATCTATCGACCTGAGTAATCGAATTTCTTAAATCACTGCATCGTATCTGATTCAACGAACGCTGAATCTGATCCTTGAAAGACGAGGATTCCCTGGATTACTCCCCTCCAGCTAATCCCGAATATCCGGATTTATTCTCCTTCAAAAATTATTTCTTGTTCACAAGTCCAGAAAATTCTTATGCATAAAATGTGAAATGCAGCATTCACAGCAATTTCATTCTCGCTAGAGTGAAAGAATATTAAAGGAGATTTGAAAACAAAATTGAAAGATCACGCATGAGCAATGCTTATATAAATCAGAACTACAATCACTTTGTTTCAGTCGAGTGGACAGTGCAGCCTATATGCAAGAGACTACCACACCTGAGGCAACCACCACGACTCCACCATCCACAACTCCGGTTGAAGTGGCTAATCCAATCGACAATGGCTTACCAAGCGATCTAGCGAATCCTTCATCGGGCGTAAGTCTCGATTACTTAATTAATCACGCTCTTTTCAGATATTCTCTTCAGAAGCATCAAATTTGATGTGACCGAATCCTTTTGGAGCTCATCATGAAGCATCGTTTGTTTAGGATCCTCGACTTGAGTTCTTGCGTAAGATCTTGTCGAAAATTCGTGAAGAAGCTGAGAAGGCTGGCATCGATGGTACCATGCAAGTTTCGGTGATGCGCGTCGATCAACCCGACCTCAGCCAGGTTCAGGTGAGCGTTCAGAAGATGCATGGCTTCATGTCGATTTCTTCTCATCACATACCCCTATACCTGATCGTCTTACTTCATTCGAAAAGTCACCACTCAACTTGAAACTGTATTTCGATATTCAACGCAAAATAATGCCATTTTAGGAGCCCTCATTCACGGACGGTTTTGGTGAAATTCAACAACCATTCATCGCACCATCTTCGCCGCTGGATATGATGCCAATGCCGAAAATGTTCGGGCCATGGCCATCCGAAGAATTCTACAACGATAACGATGAAAAGTACGAATTGTGATAAACTACCCTTTCAGGCAGCTGCAACACATTTTCGACGAAGAATACCCGTAGAAAATACCTCACTTCTCATCTTCACTAGAGCATTCATGACGTACCATCCCACAGAATCATTTTTCTTCATCATGATCTCTTCGAATTTGATTTCGGGTTTCAAAAAGTATTTACGGTGTTCGCTCAAAATCGGAGCAACTGGCCAAATCAATCAACTTACTGTAAATAGGAGAAAAGACATTCGCACACGATCTGATCGATTTGCTGGGCCTAAAAACTGCCTAAAAAGTTGAATTCAATGAAGCCTCTCCAGCTGGTTTGCCTCAAATATTCACTGTATGAAACTTTTTCAGTCGTCCAATCTCAAGCCCCATGATGATGAGTCAGCCGATGGACATGTCTATGCCATCAATGATGATGAGTCAGTTCGCCAGTCGTCCCATGATGATGATGATGAACCAACCCGGAAATTTGGGACCAATGATGATGAATTCAGGAATGATGCCTCGTCCTTTCTCGGCACCACTTCTTCCACAGATACTCTTCATGGGTGCTAGACGCTTCGATCAGCCTATGCTTCCTCCGACGGTAATTAACCAGAGTCCTAGCATGCCCTGTACAGATCCAGCATGCAATGTACAGTCACAAGCACTACAACCGCTTACCGCGCCTCTTCAGTCTGAACAACAGCAACTTGACATAGATGATGCTATGGAGAGTTCACCTCAGCTTTATCCGCCAGAACAGTCTCAGCTTCCTGAACTGTTGACGGCACCTGCACTAACTGTCCCTGCGCCACCTACAGAATCGCAGTCCCAGCCACAGCCCCAATCTCAACAACTTTCGCAGTCTCAAAAATCTGAAGATCCATTCTTCAACGTCAAACCATGGCTTCACATATTTCTGGCGGGTGATAATTTGTCACAGGGACCTGACAGTAATGACCGGATGACGAATGATCAGAATAACGGATGGAGTGCTCAGAAAGTGAGTGCTTCATCATATTATTAGCGAATTCATAGGACGACCAACACCCTGTTAAAATTCTTTAGTCGGGATAGGAATTTCCCAACTGTGAGCTCCAGCGCTCCCTTGCGGTCATTATTGTTGTGATGAAAGAGGGCACGAGAAGTCCTCGTTTCATTTGAGGGAGCGATGAACAAATACAGAGGAGGGTGGCGAGCATTTACACATTTCCTTAGCCAATGCTCTCGAAAATGGTAGTGGTCGGAAAAAGGTTGAAACACACCGGTCTAGGTCATTATTCGAAATTATGGCTCCTTTCAGATCACTGACTAAGAATCAGGCCAGGTTTNTAGTGTCAGGAACTCTGAGAAGTCTGAAATTATTGCTTGCAACATCACGGTAACACTCTGCACTGCTTGCTTCACACTAACGACAATTTCATTCGATGGCCACTAATGCTAGTATTATGTGTTGCAGAACAACATGGCTGGCAGCTTTGGCCCAAGTTTCACTGGCCCCTTGGCAGCACCAGCTCAGCCCCAAATTCAGCCACAAATAATTCCACAAGATCCACAACCACAATTGTTCGCGCCGAATCCAGCAGATGCTTCATGGAACATCAACGATGCACCACAGCAAATGCAACAACAAATCCTCCAAGCACAGCCACAAATGTCCAACACCTTCATCCGACCCTTCGCTATGATGCAATTGGAAACTCCGCAACAAGAGCCAATTCCCGTTCTTGGACCTCAACTTCCACAACCTCAGCAACCTCAAATTGAATCTGGAGTCCCAACGTTCGACCAAGCACCAAGATGGCTCGGACCTCAATTTCCCATTAATGCAGCCCCACCACCACAACCTCAATCGCTTTCTCGGGACCTATGGTCACCTATTCCGAAGGTACGCATTAGCACTGGCACTTCTCATTTCAACTGACCATTTCGTACGTCTAGCACAACAAAATCTGAAGATGTTCAAAAACCTTCATTACAGTACGTTCTGAAATCAGTGTTGCACATCAAAATGCAGCATACATTTTATGGGAATAGTTAATTTCGAGATAACTGCACTAACAATGTCCTTTGGTTTCTGAGGGCTTTTCTTCTAGGCCATTAACAGTTTTTCGGATTTTTTCTCAGTTTGAATCTGCAGTTGGGAAGTTCCTTCCCATTCAGTGCTGAGAATGATTCAAACGTTATGCCGTACGACAACTTTTGTTTAAACTTTGCCACTGGTTTCAGAGCAATATTGCTGATAACTTCGACCAACGAATGAACGGAGCACTCGTAAGTCCTCCTCAAATGCCACAAGTTCCTCAGATCCCACAAAATCAACAGTCTTTGTGGAATCCAGATATGTCCTGGATGAACAATGAAATCCGAGAGCAACCGCAAGTTCAATTCGCCTCATCTGATAGCTTCTTCAAACCGGCCGATAACGGATTTCCTGTCCCATCTTTGCCAGAACAATTCCAAGCCCAGCAACAGCAGATGCCGATAGTTCTGCAGCAGAATGCTGCTCCTCAAGAAGCCATCGAGCAGCCCCAAACTCAGGTTCAGGCACAACAACCTCAAGAGACACAATTCGTTCAGATGCCTGAAGTTCGTCCAGTCGTATCTGAAGTAGTACCAGCTGTTCAACCGGAACAGTCTCTACCAACCATTCAGCAGCAACAAGAACAACAACCTCTGGTCATACCAGCAGAAAATACTTGGCAAAAGCCTCAGCCCATTGTTCCGGTGGTGAGTGCTTTCGAATATGACACACATATTTCCTCACTGTCAGCTCCGAATCCGTCCAAATTTGGACTGCCATAAAGCGTCCTTAATTAACATGGAATGGATTTTTTTTGCTCATGCTTTCATGGGAATGGGAATCCAAAGCTTGAATCTTGAATTCTTTCATCAACCACTCCGCTGACCAAAACGCTAATTTAAAATTTTTGCTAACATAGTTCTCATTCTCCACATATTTCTCAGTTTCGAACATAACCGAAACCTATCCGCCACACTCACAACAATTTTAGAACGGTGATCAACCGCAAGAACTTGTACAAGCAGGAAGTGCAGATAACAAAATGGAGATGCAAGGGCCACAAGATATTGCCATTATCTCGCCACGTATGGCAGAATCAATCCCGTTCTTCCAGTCAAAAATGAACCAGGAAAAGGTTAGTGGACGAATGATCGACCAATTCATTTTGGGAATTCAAATTCCATACATCCTGTAGCCAGTGTGAAGTCGTGCAACTGTCTTAAGGAATTTAACTCTTCGCCCCTCAATATCAAATTATTGAACTGTTGATCAATTCATAGTATTTGTGAAGCAACAACATTTTCGATCACATTTGCTTGAGAATAATAAACGAAATCGTTGAACAGAAAAATGTTCAGTAGAATTTCATAGTATTATTTAATAATTGTACGATTTCTTCCAATGAATTCTCAACATGGTGTTGCAATATCATGTAAAAAGTGACACCTGTTTGTGATGTTAGTTGTGTTGCTGGTGCGAAGGCGACAACTGATAGTTTAGTTTGTCCACACAAATAAATAAAGACGATAA